ACCATGTATAATAAAGCAACATCAATTAATGGCGGTGCTAACATTATAACAGCTCTAGGAACCATTATCAAAGACTCAGCATTTGGTCACAAACAATGGAGGGTTCGAGAACAGGTGACGTTCTTTGGAATTATAATTGTTTTAAATGGTCAAATTCTTAATTATTTAATGTTTTGCGTTTGTTAAAAGATTTTACAATGGATTGTGACGTGCACAAAAAAAATTACGGATTTTTCTTTACGACCATGGGTACCATACATGGTGAAACTATTAGAGGATCCGCATGAACATGTGAGAGAAACCGCAAAAGACACAATAGTTGCACTGTTTAGGTATGTGCTTGGTTCCCATATGGTATGTTGACTTGCGACGCTTAGCATTGCAAATTACTTTATCTAGTGGTGCCGCATCACATGCAAAATCAGATTTGAAAAGAGAACTTCAAGAACAGTCAATCCGCTTGGGTATTGTCGACTATATTCTTACAAAGGTGTATAACAACCAAACAGCAACGAACGAGGAACATCATGACAATCACACTGATGCAGGAACTGAGGTGGATGAATATGATTATGTTAATGGTGAGGGTAATGATGATAATCCAAAATCTGCCGATTCTATTGCAAGGCCTAATAGTTCTACTGGTAGTGAAATTGGTGTTTTATATGTAAGCAATCTTTCATTAAAATTACATCATAAATAGTGAACATCAAACGTTTATATTTATTATTACTCTGCTTTTTAGGTGGACAGTGCCAAAGAACTAGAAAGGGAGTTTCAAAATATATTAACGCCTTTTCAGGGGAAAGAATCCGAACAAAATTGGTTGATTCGTGAAAGGAATATCAATAGGCTGAGGGGTTTGGTCAGAGGTGAAGCTTATGTGAACTTTAAAGAAACCTTTATTAATGGGCTTAAGTTGACAATGGATGGCATTTTAAAATCGGTATGTCGTGGTTGGATTATGGTTAAATATATATACATTAACTAATTTTCAATACGGTTATTTCGGAACCTAAATTCATTAGCTCAATAGTCTGCGTACAACTCTTACCCTGGCCAGTGCAGGTCTTATAAAAGACTTGGCAGTACATTTAGGCCCTGCGATTGATCCTTTTGCTGATAATATTTTGGCAAATCTTATCAAGATGGTATTGTCAACAAAGAAGATTGTTGCACGGGCTGCATCTATCGCAGCAAATGCTCTTTTGCAACACGTATCATATCATAATCGCTTGGTCACACAATTATGGAATGCGATGGAAGATAACAATAAGCAGCTAAGAGAGTATGCAATTGGATTTGTAAAGACTGTCTTAAAATCACATGAAAATAAAAAGGATGTTATGGAGCGATCGGGGGCTGCGGATATGTTGGAAAAATGTGTACGTAAAGGTTTAACTGATGCAAACCCTAAAGTGAGAGAAACATGTCGGGAGGTATTTTGGTCGTTTTACGAAATATGGACAGAAAGAGGCGAAAGGTAGGTCAATTTATTTTTGGATTTTTTTTTCTTTCATCCGTCAATTAATTTAAGCGTAACCTTTTAGAATTCTAAAGAATATTGAACCAGCAGTAAAGAAACAATTGGAGCGCGACAAGCCAAAAATCTTAAATTTGGCATCTCCTGTACAACCATCAACACCTACCACATCAAGCCGAGGGCGTACCCGCTCTACAAGTTTTGGAAAATCGAAAAGACCTCCGAGTATTGCTACATCTGATAGTGGGATGAGTGATAATTACCCAGTGCGTGTTGAATCTGCTTCAAAGGAGGATCATTCAAGATTATCGGCAAAAACGCCAACTCCTAAATTACGTGCGAAGTCACCTGCTCCACCTAAGATGTCAAGGAGCAAATCAGATGCCTCGAAATCTTTAAAGTCACCATTGCTATTACCTAGTAAATCCACGTCGCCAAACGCAACAACTGTTCCAAAACCCCAACCCCGTAAGTTAACAGTTATTGAGCAATTAGAGCATAGCGAATGGACCACACGTATTGAAGGGATTTTAAGTGTTGCACAATTGGTAGTAAAAAGGACGTTGGAACCACCATCCGGAAAGCCGGGAGCTCATGATTTTAAAAAGGCACTACTTCCACCAGATGATGACTTGAGTCCACATTTATTAAATATATTAAACGATTCCAACAATAAGGTGCTTGAGACATTTTTGGAACCAAATGTTTTCGTAGAACTGGCAAAAGTCGTGAAACATGAAATTTTAATACCAAAAGTTCTCTTGCTTGCAAGTGATGAAACAAGGCCCGAGCAGGCAGCAATTGTACAAAATTTCCTTCCTAGAATTAAATCTGAGCTTGGTAGTGAAAAATCTTTAGTAGCACTTAACAAATGCCTTTTGATACTAGGAAGTTCTGGAACGGCACCCAGAAAACTAGCTGCTGTTTTTGGTTTTACACCACCTCAAAAACGTAAAGTCATAAATGGAATTCTTAATTGGTTCAATGAAATAATTGAACCGAAAGTAGATGAGGCGGATCAAAACGATGGGAAAGTCAAAGGATTCTTAGGGGATCTGGAAAAGTATAAGTTACTTGCTAATCGTCTTATTCCAATGGTGACGATGACCAAAGAAAATTCTGAAAATTTTAAGCCTCTTAGTGATCTTTTGGTCAATTTATATAAGATAAACGCAGACGTTTTTGAAGAAGTTTTATATACTTTTGATAAAAAGACAGAAGATGCAATTGGTGAAATAATTGGTTGGGAGGATGAGGAAGCTGAAAGTGAGGTTCTAGAAGAAGATCGACAAAAGATACTAGAGGAACAAGAGCGACAACGAGAGAAGGAAGAGTTTGAAAAACGACTTTATGAAGAAAATTTAATTAAACAACAGCAAATACAACTACAGGAATTGCAAAAGCAAAAAAAAGAGCAATTGGAAAGAAAGAAACGTGAGCGAGAATTATTACAACAACGAGAGCGCGAAAAAGAGTTGGAAAGACAACAGTTGCAAGAAATTGAATATGAAAAAGAATTACAAAGACAACATGAAATTGAAATTGAAAAACAACGAGAAAGGGAATTGGCATTGCAACGCAAACTTGAACAGGAAGTCCAGCTCAAGATAAAACGTGAACAAGAACGTGAACTCCAGGAACAGCGTGAACGTGAACTTCAAGAACAACGTGAACGTGAACTTCAAGAACAACGTGAACGTGAACTTCAAGAGCAACGTGAGCGCGAACTTCAAGAGCAACGTGAGCGTGAACTTCAAGAGCAGCGTGAACTTCAAGAGCAACGTGAACGTGCATTACATGAACAGGAACGTATGCTCCGGGAACGTGAAGCTGAACGTGAGCGGGAGTTCCAGATGAAGCGCGAACGCGAACTCCAAGAAAAACGGGAATATGAGATAAGAATGAAACGCGAGCGTGAACTTCAAGAACAACTTGAATATGAACGGGAACGGGAACGGGAACTAATGGAACAGAAAGAGTATGAAAGGACCAGAAAACCATCTCCTTTGCATCGAGTGCAATCATTGTCCTTATTGCAGTCAAGTCAAACGCATCC